GAGGGGGGGGAAGGGGGTGGGGATGGTTTTTATTTGGTGGGGTTTGTGGAACTGGGGGTGTTGTTAGAGGGTGTTTTTTTTCTTAGTGATTCTCGATCTTTTCTTTTCTTTTTTTGGTTTTTGTGATGGAGGAGTTTATTTGTGTTCGGTGGATAGGGAGGATTTATTTGGATGGACTTGTGAAGGGGAGCTGGAGCTGGATGGGGTGTTGGAGGGGTGGATGTGTGGATGTGTAGGTGCTTTTCGTTCTTGGTTCACTCTTAGGTGTTCCAAGACTTTTGTAGTTTATCTTCATCCGTTGAATCCAGAAATAGAAAGTAGATACTAGGGAGCATTGGCATCTTTCATTTCTTCCAACTTACCTTGACTACTTGCGCAGCGAGCATTTGCTCGGGGATATCGGTTGCCATGGTTGAGAAGTGGTGTGTATTTATTTGTTTGGCTAAAGTGGACTAGTGTGTCAGAATGGAGTCTTTGAGATAAGTTTCTGAAGTAAATTTAAGACTTAAATGTAAGAGTAAAAGGGTTGTTGAGGAGAAATAATTCAAGGTCATACGCTATAGTTATAGTTGTTTGTTTCCTATGTCCGTACTAGCTGCGTCGGGGATATCGAGGCGCCATTCAGAGATAATGTGTTTGACGTCACCTAATGCAGGAAGCAGGATCGTATGTTTGAAATGTGGCATTTTGTGGCTTGGGGTCAGAGTGAATTTATACTAGTAGGATACTTGGTACGGAGGCTAGGTACTAAGTGAATTGTATACGGAGTTTATTGAAGCATTTTGGGAAAGGGGGGATAGATGGAGAGGGAGAGTTTAGCGAGTGCCGCTTTAGGTTGCTGGATATCCCCTTCTGTCTTGCTGTCACGACACGAGGCGGTAACAACGTCTCTCACCAATCAGCTACACTACGCTACGCTGCCTACTACCGAAGACTTGCACTGACAATATTACAATTTCTTTTGGACAATCGTTTCTTTTCTTCATATCCTATCTATCCTCCGCTCCATCCGGGTTCCCCTGAGATCCGAGGTCTCGTGCGGGCACGGCTTCTGGCTCAGGGCGTTTGAGATCACTCGTCATAACAACACTGTCCCTATCGTCTCATCTTCAACACCTCAACAACCCACACTATCATGAGAAGCAATATGGCTTCTCCTCAAGAGGAAGCCGAGTCCCTGATTCAAGGCTCTGAGATTTCCGAACCAACGCCCTCAGAATCCTCCCACGATGAACCAGCTCCGGCAGTAGAAAAGCCGGTATACGGAAACTCAAGACGCAAGACGATGTTAAAACTCGCCGCTGGAATCGCATTAGGCCTCGTTGCCATATACTGGGCCCTCATTTCCCTCTACAATTCCTTCATAGCAAGCTACCTACGCCACTCCGCTCATCCCAAGTTTCCATACTACTTTGACCCCAATCCGGAATTATGGCCTGGTCCGACCGCCACAGGACGTGCTCCGTTTCTTGCCCAGGCGACGGTCGCTCCAAGCTTTGGCCAAGCGCCGAATAAGACCATGGAAAGACTTTGGGCTCATCTTTCGCCCTACTCGTTGAATTATGAGGGTTGGGGAATTGAGGAATATCCTTTGCCGGTTGGCGCGAAGATTACACAAGTTCACGTGAGGAAGCGAAATGTAATGGGTAGGATGTATGGAATAGGGCTGATGTTGATATAGACTCTTCATCGACATGGAGCGAGATACCCAACTACCGGAGCTAATGTGGAAAGTTTGGGCAGTAAGATGACTACCGTTGCAGGAAGATTCAATGCCTCTGGGCCTCTGGAATTCCTAAATACTTGGTCTTACGGTTTGGGAGCAGAGATTATGGTTCCTGCTGGACGATTGCAATTATTTGAGTCTGGGGTTCATCGATATTACCAATATGGACATCTCTATGAGCCAGGAACCAAGATTCTAGTTCGCTCCACTACCCAAAAAAGAATGCGAGAAGTAACGTCCCCATAATGTTTAGACTTCATAGTATGGCAGCTAATTTTCAACAGAGTGTTTGGAATTTCCTTTCTGGCTTCTTTGGCCTTGAGTGGCAGGAGTATGCAGAGGTCGGTTATGGTATTGAGGGATTCAGCAATAATGCACGCTGGAATACTTCTCTTGCAGGATACAATAATTGTCCCAATTCCAACAAAGACCAAAACAAAGTTGGTCAGAATGTGTCTTCTGCGTGGCAAACCAAATACCTCCAAAATGCGACAGCACGCATCAACAATCTGGTCGAAGGATTGGTTTTTGAGACTAAGGATGTATATGCTATGCAAACTATGTGTCCTTACGAATATGTAAGCCTTTCCATCCCATTTTCCTTTCCGAAAGACACTGACTGAATTCACAGGCCGCATTTGGGTACAGTCCTTTCTGCAAGCTATTCACATTCGATGAGTGGGAGGGATTCGAGTACAGCATTGATCTGTGGTTTTCAGGTGGCTCAGGGTTTCGTAAGTACAACCTCATCCATCTTTCATACGTAGCCCCCATCACTTCGTTTCGTCTCATGATTTCCTGCCAACTCATCACCTCGCCCCCAAATTGTGTTGTATCATCCATCCTGACCTCCATGCCTCAGAATCCCCAACCGGCCGCGCAGTCGGCCTCGCCTGGCACCAAGAACTCCTCGCCCGTCTGGAACACCACACCCTCTCCTTCTCGCACTCCCAAATCAACACCACCCTCGACAGCACCACCGAAACCTTCCCCCTGAATCAAACCCTGTACTTCGATTTCAGCCACGACACCAACATCATGAGCATCCTCACCTCCCTCGGCTTCTCGCAATTCTCCGCCCTCCCCGCCGACCACCCCGGCCCACACAACCTCACCGTCTCCAACATCACGCCCTTCGCGGGCCGTCTCGATGTCGAGGTGCTCACTACGCCGCATCCTGTCCGAGAAGATCGGAGCTATGATCCTAAAGGGGCGGAGACTAGGTACGTGAGGTTCAAGTTGAATGAACGGACCCTGCCCCATCCGAGGTGTGCGCCCCGTCAGGATGGCCTCTGTGAGTTGGAGCACTTGCTGGAGATTTTGAGGGATGAGGAGAGTAAGGTTGATTATGAGATGGCGTGTTTTGGGGATTATGAACCGGCGCCTTGGGGAGCGATTACGGATGGGAGGCCGTTGGGGCTAAAAGATTGAAAAGGGGGGAGGGGGTTTAAAAATTGTGTTTTAGAAATTGTAGTCTTTCTGAGGCCGCTGGGGGGTGGAGGGAGGCGTTTCAAAAGAAGAACTGAGTGAGCTGGTTGGAGTTTTGTGCGATTGGTTTTTTTCTTTTTCTTTTTCTTTTTCCCCCTCTTCTTCTTCTTTTTTTGCACGTTGTAGTAGGTACGGAGACTTGTATGTATGTATGTATGTTTAGATATATTAAACTACTATAGAAGGAGAGAGATATAAAAATATGAAAATGAGAAAATCGGAAAACAGAAAAATAGAAGAAGCGTATCAGGACGGCAGGGAGTGAAATTTTTCTTTTACAGTAAGGAGATTGCGGTAGGTAGGAATGTTTGGGGGGACCTAATGTGTGTATGTAAGATTTAGATGTTCTTGAATCTTGGATCTTGAATCTTGGGGGGAGGGGGGTATAGATAGTTACTGTAGGTATGAGTATGATAGGGAAGGGTGGAAGGG